GTGCTCTTCTCTCCTTTTTGTTCCTGTTAAAAGTCGCGCTGCAGAATTTTGGACTAACTGTAGTCGGTAAAATGCATTTTGCGAAATGCCGGAATAAAGTGCATTACAGTCGTCCAGGCGCGATGAAATAAAAGCCTGCATAATTTGTTCAAATAGTTTAAAAGATAAAAAAGGTTTAACTTTAGATAAAAGCCGCAAATGATAAAAACTTGATTTTAAAACATTGTTAATCTGTTTATCAAATTTAAAATCACTGTCTAAGATGACGCCGAGGTTGGTGACCGTGGGACGAACATGATTTTTGAGGAATCCCACATTCAGTGAGGGAACTGTTGGCCCCAAACAGTATCACCTCAGTCTTATCTTCATTGAGTTTCAAAAAGTTTTGGGCCAACCACGCCTTGACGTCCGATAGACAGTCGAGCAGGGGTGTCAGGGAGGAGAAAGAGGGAGGAGAAAGGAGAGACGAGACAGGAGGGAGGAGAGGAGGAGACAGGAGGGGGGAAAGGAGGAGGGAAGAGAGGAGGAGGGAGGAGACAGGAGAGAGGAGACATGAGGGGGTAAGGAAGAGACAGAAGAGGGGAGGAGACAGGTGGACACTGTGCACTCAGAGGACGAGTTGCCGTTAAACTAAAGATCTTGTGAGGACAGAGTTTTTTTCTTATTGCAATTTGAACATGAAGCTGGTTCCAGGGACAATTATCACCCAGGAAAACTGGACTCAAATACAACACAAAGAACAGAGTCAAACACAAACGTCTTAGAACAGTTGAACAGAAAATGTCCTTCTATAGGTAATGTAGGTAAAGCTTAATATAACAAATCAGGCTGATAACGAAAAGGAATATATGATTTTATTATGTGAACTTAAATATCCTCCAGAACTGGGAAATACTCTACAAGTAGAAAATGGGCTGGGAATAATCTCAGAAACAACAGGAAATAATGCAGGACTACAGAAATGTCTAACAACAGAGTTCAGATACAAAGCTTGAGAGTCTCTGCAGCTGCAGGAAGAACAGGGAGGAAGCAAAAGAAGGACCGGACCACAGTGAGAAACAGAGCTGAACTGGGGATAAACATGTAAACAAAAACAAAAAACAAAAAACAAAAAAAAACTGTGACAAAAATATTGTACATTAAACCAATCAAATCAAAATAACTTTATTTATCTGTTACTTGAACCGCAGACAACGCTGGCACACGTAGAGACACAACACATCCACTGGAAATGTCCCACAATATGGCATTACATTTTTTATGTTCCAAGGAAGAAGGTGAAGCCATCCGGTCAAATTACAGGTCAGATCTGTGGAAAGTTGGGCCCATGTTATTTTTAAGTATTTTTTTCTTTCTTTTCTTTATTATTATGTAATAAACAGACAGACAAATTTAATGCCAAACTGTGGAACAAGACAACTTAATAACGTTTCCCTGGAGACAAAAAGGTGGCGGACATGCAGTTATTTTATGAAATAGTTCGATATATAATATATAAAATATAGTAGAGCAACATTACTGAGGCGGGACAGTGATATTTTAGACAACCAGCTTTAGTTTTATTATATTTCATTTTTCTGAAGTTTAATTAGTCTGAAAAAAAAAAAAAAAAACTTGTATTTTTAGTCGTTAATTATAATTTGTTAAAAGTAAATATATTAAAATGAACACAAGCACAGACGTCTGCCACTGTGACACTATTTCAGATTTTGTGTTATTAATAAAACTTCTTCTTTAGACCCAAACCCAAGAGTCGTTTTACTAAATCTGCTCAGTATTTTTCCCGCTCGTCCTTGACTCCTGATCTGTTTTGTTTCTTACCGTATCAGCGCCGTTTCCCATGATGCATTTCCACAGGAAGCTCAAAGATTTGGAGACTTAAAGTGTTGACGTCGTCCATCCCTCATCAGAGAGTCACACTGATACTGTCTGCTCCTGTCTGCTCCTCTCTGCTCCTGTCTACTCCTGTCTGCTCCTGTCAGCTCCTGTCTACTCCTGTCCGCTCCTGTTTGCTCCTGTCAGCTCCTGTCTACTCCTGTCCAGCTCCTGTCTACTCCTGTCCAGCTCCTGTTCCTGCTCCTGTCAGCTCCTGTCTACTCCTGTCAGCTCCTGTCTACTCCTGTCTGCTCCTGTCTACTGCTCCTGTCTGCTCCTGTCTACTCCTGTCTGCTCCTGTCAGCTCCTGTCTACTCCTGCTCCTGTTTGCTCCTGTCTACTCCTGTCAGCTCCTGTCTTCTCCTGTCTGCTCCTGTCTACTCCTGCTCCTGCTCCTGTCTACTCCTGTCTGCTCCTGTCTCCTGCTCCTGTGCTCCTGCTCCTGTCTACTCCTGTCACTCCTGCTCCTGTCTACTCCTGTCCTGCTCCTGTCTGCTCCTGTCCTGCTCCTGTCTACTCCTGTCCTGCTCCTGTCTACTCCTGTCCTGCTCCTGTCTACTCCTGCTCCTGGCTCCTGCTCCTGCTCCTGTCAGCTCCTGTCTACTCCTGTCTGCTCCTGTTCTGCTCCTGTCTACTCCTGTCTGCTCCTGTCTACTCCTGTCTCCTCCTGTCTACTCCTGTCCACTCCTGTCCTGCTCCTGTCTACTCCTGTCCTGTTTGCTCCTGTCACTCCTGCTCCTGTTTGCTCCTGTCTGCTCCTGTTTGCTCCTGTCTGCTCCTGTCAGCTCCTGTCAGCTCCTGTCAGCTCCTGTCTACTCCTGTTTGCTCCTGTCAGCTCCTGTCACTCCTGTTCCTGCTCCTGTCAGCTCCTGTCCAGTCTGCTCCTGTCAGCTCCTGTCAGCTCCTGTCTCCTCCTGTCTCCTCCTGTCAGCTCCTGTTTGCTCCTGTCTGCTCCTGTTTGCTCCTGTCAGCTCCTGTACACTCCTGTTTTGCTCCTGTCAGCTCCTGTCAGCTCCTGTCAGCTCCTGTCATGCTCCTGTCCTGCTCCTGTTTGCTCCTGTCAGCTCCTGTCTCCTCCGGTCTGCTCCTGTCAGCTCCTGTGTCAGTCCTCCTGTCAGCTCCTGTCAGCTTCCTGTCCTACTCCTGTTCCTGCTCCTGTCCACTCCTGTCCGCTCCTGTTTGCTCCTGTCAGCTCCTGTCAGCTCCTGTCAGCTCCTGTCAGCTCCTGTCTGCTCCTGTTTGCTCCTGTCAGCTCCTGTCAGCTCCTGTCAGCTCCTGTCAGCCCCTGTCAGCTCGTGAGGGACACAGGGGGAGGGGACAGATATGAACTTTAATAATAGTTTGTTTAATCATATTTTTATAATTTTTCATGAGACAGAAGAAAAGCTGGAAGTGTCCGTCAGAGCGTCGGGTCAGAGGTCAAACACAAGAGGAAACTCACATTTTGCTCTGTCCACTTCCTTTTACAGAATTAACAAAACCTTTTATTCAGATAATAAAACTACACGTTAGCATTTTTATATAAGATTATTTTTTATTATACTGAGACAAAATATAAAGGCCGTAGAAAAATGAAAATCACAAGATAGTTTTGATTTCAATTCGAATTCAGTTTCACTTTCAAAACCATCAATTCCACTTCCCCCATTTTATTATTATTTATCTAGTTGTTATTGTTTATATTTATGTATGTATGTATTTATTTATTTATTCATTTATTATGTATTATCATATCTGTTTTTTATTATTATCCATTATCTATTACACAGGTGTCAAACATACGGCCCGGGGGCCAGATCCGGCCCTCCAAGACCTTTAATCTGGCCCTCGGCTGATTTTCTACTAAAATATTTAATTATATTTTCTATTAAAAATCTTGTTAATTTTCTGTGGTGTTTTATCACAGCAGCGTCTCCAGCGTCTCTGTACGTGGCCCCTCCCACCAGAGCAGCACAAATGAAGACTTGTCTCTTTCCAAACGCTCTTAAAGGACGATCGTTTTGACTGTTGACCGTGACACCCTCATCAGAAAAATGTCCAACATGAGAAAAGTGGAGCCGAGTGCAGGATTTTACAACAAAAAATTGACTTATTCCTATTTGCATACAAAGTTCATGTTAAAACATTGTGTTGAAATTGCATTTTTCTTAAAGTTTCAGGTTGTTCATAATATTATAATATTTTGTAAAAGAAAGAGTTCATCAATTAAAAAAGATTTCTGTAATAGATTTGTGTTTCTCTGCACAAATATTTGAACTTATTGTTATTTTTGGGGTTTATATGACATGAGTTTTCTGATCCGGCCCCTTTGGGATCAAAGTCGGTTGGATACGGCCCCCGGACCAAAATGAGTTTGACACCCCTGATCTATTATATTCCATTTTCTCAATTATTTTTCATTCCATCATTTAGTATTCAATCCGTGGACTTTACAAACAAACAAAAGGAGTAGATATGTTATGAAGTCTCCAAATTACAGTAAATAATCTTTTGTTATTTGTAGCACAAAGTCAAAAAAGGAGGAAGCAGTGTATTCGGTTCAGTCTTAAATCCAACCCAACTTGATTTGCACATTTTATAAACAAGAATCACATTTAAACAAGAAATACACATAAACAACCTTTAAACAAAATCCATTTAAACAAGAAATACATAAACAAGAAGCACATTTTATAAACAAGAAAGTTTTCAAAGTGCTTCACAAAGCAACATAAAACATTTCACTTTAAAAAGTCAGCACAAACAAAAAGAACTAATAGAATCAATAATAAAACCAATGAACAAAAATAAAATAAAATCGCTAAATAAAGGCAGAACTAAAAAAAAAAAAAAAGTAATAAAAGAGATAAAAATAAAAAAAGTTAAAAACAATTAAAAAAAAAAAAATAAAAAATAAAATAATAATAATATAATATAAATAATATAAATAAATGAATAAAAAAAGGCTTAATTTCTTCATTTACACGTGGCCTAATTAGTCAAAAAAAAAAAAAAATATAATATATAATAAAAAAAGTGTGTAAATTATTAAACGTTTACGACCGCCAAGAAATGTTTTTATGATCTGCGCATGCGCGACGTGAAGTTTACGCGTTGCCATAGAAACGGGTCCTGAGGAGAAGCGCGGCGGAGAGAGCGAAAAAAACAAAAACAAAAACTCTGAATAAAGTCCCTCAAACTCCGGGACAGCGGGACAAGAGCAGGGGAAAGTGAGTTTAAGACGTTTATCTGACATGTTTACATCTGTTTATGAGTTTGTTTTTGGTCCAGTTGTGCGTAATTGTCCAAGTTTAGTGAATATTATAATTGAATCGGCGTTAGCTGTTAGCCTCGTTAGCATCACAACATCCTATAGGTGAATATTAATGAAAACACGCGGGGGCAGCTAAAATTAATATGGTTAAAATTAGGGTGAGCAGATTTTCAAAATAAAAAACTGTGACACTCTCGGTTTGTGGTGGTTTGTAATAATAAAATTGTGAAACGAGTGCGTAATTAAGGAAAATTCTTCTGCACTTGGCCCGTTCTTGACGAACATTATGTCAGTATAGTCACATTTTCTTTGTGTTTTGGTCATTTTTAAGCAGCTTTTATGTATTTTACCTAAAAAAAAATTACAATATTTGCCTCTCTTTACTGTTGGCAGGGATCAAATTGGTTAAAAATAGAGACTTCTGGTACGTTTCTTGTATAAAATTGGGACAAATCACTGGTTTTGGATAAATCTGCTGGGACAGGAGGCTCAAAACTGGGACTGTCCCGGGTAAACAGGGATGTCTGGTCACACTAGTTAAAATGCAAAATTATGTTATAATACAGTGAGTTCTAGGGTTTAGTGCCCTGTGTCCAGTGTTGGGGAGTAACAGATTACATGTACCAGAGTTATGTAATCAGAGTACAAATTATGAGTAACTGTATTCAGTTACAGTTACTGTTTCAGTGAGTGGTAATTGGATTACAGTTACTTTGTTGAAATAAATGGATTAAACAGAGGTATTTTCCTGTTTTCACATTTTGGGCTATATCCCTTTTTTTGGGGGGGGGACTGAACCCAGGTCTAAAATAGATTTAAACCAGGTCTAAATCAGTACTAAACCAGAACTAAAACCAGATCTAAACCAGGTCTAAACTAGATCTAAACCAGGTTTAACTAGATCTAAACCAGGACTAAACCAGGACTAAAACCAGGCCTAAATCAGGACTAAACCAAGTCTAAACCAGGACTAAACTAGATCTAAATCAGGTCTAAACCAGGACTAAAACCAGGTCTAAACCAGGTCTAAACTAGATCTAAACCAGGTCTAAAACAGGATTAAAACAGGATTTAACAGGACTAAATCATGCTGCGTGGACGTGTTTCCTCGTCTTCTATCAATAATATTTTTAATTTGGTTAAGTAAAGTCTGGGCTTTTTTTATTTTCTTTTATCAGACAAAACATCTTAAGTGAAGATTTCCTCGTCTTTGCTTCTCTACAGCAAATCAAGTAATCCAAAGTATTCAGATTACATGACTCGCTTGAAGTAATTTAATGGATTCCGTTACAAACTACATTTTGAGGTGTGTAATTTGTAATCTGTAGGGGATTACATTTTAAAAGTCACCTTCCTAACACTATCTGTGTCCCCTGTCCCAGTTTTATACAAGAAATGTCCCAAGTGTCCCTATTTTTGACCAATCTGATCCCCACAACAGTAAAGAGAGGAATATATTACCAACTGTTTTTGTCTAAATAGAGAAAAAAGTGCTTGAAAATTGCCAGAAGACTCGTGTCGATTCACAAGTGAGTGGAGAGTGAATATGTGCTTTTTTATTTTCATTATATACATGCAAAATAAAAATAAACAAATAAAAAACAACTGCTTCTTGACATAGGAAATTTTGGAACCTGAAAATCACCAATAACCAGGCAACTTCAGCGTTTTAAACAAATATTTATCAGTGCACCTGCTGCAAAGTTATTTATTCAAAACTGTTCATCTCCCCTCTGTTTCTGACTTCTGACTTTATCAACATTTCACGTTGTTGTTCTGATTCGCGATGACGTCTCCTCTTCACACTGTGTCCGTTTTCTCTCTTGGCGCTGATGTGACGTTTCTTCCTCAGGACATGTCGTCTTCCGGGGGCCTCATAGACTTCGGCGCTCTGGAGAAGGAGCTGCGCGGGTCCCTTCAGTCTGAGGAGAAGCACCAGAGAGAGAACGCGGCCAAACTGAGAGCCGTGCACCAGAGAGTGGGCTCCTACGACAGCTTCAGGTCAGCGGGGCCTCAAGTGGTTATTTATTTATTTATTTGTAAGAAAAGACCAAAAGCCAAATTATTGTTGTTGTCACAGGACTTTCTCTCAGCTTAGCCACAACAGAGTAGATCTTTCATGATTGTTTTTCGTTGAATAATCAGTATAACACGGAATAACATTAGACTGATTAAACACACCGACACCCCTATGTCTCGTTTCAGGTCAGATCTGTGGAGAGGTGACCGCTCTCACACTAAAAACACATTTCCCAAGGTAGTTTTGAGCAATAAAAACACCTAGAATTGAAAGAATAATTATTTATTGAAGAACTGCAAGATTAGATACTCTTAATGCAACACTGTGGAATGTTACAGGCTAAGCAGTAACATCTCCATGGAGACGAGCAGGTCCGAAGACATCTTAAATGGAGATTACGGTTATTCATTATTCAGTCATAATTTAATACATGTTTTGTAAATCTTGTCCATTTCAGGTCTCTGGTTTTGGCGTCTCACCTGAAGCCTCTGGAGAGACACGACCTGCAGGGGGCGCCACGGAAACAGCCCTGGAACCCCGTCGCCGCGGGCAACGGGACCCGGCACACTGTCGCCGCGGGCAACGGGACAAAACCTACGACCTCAGGAAGTCGAGAGGGAAATGAAGAGAGCTCCACAAACCAGGACTAAACCAGGATTAAACCAGGACTAAACTGGGACTCAACAGGACTAAACCAGGACTAAACCAGGACTGAACCAGGACTAAACCAGGACTAAAATAGAACGAAACCAGGACGAAACCTGGACTGAACCAGAAATAAACCAGGACTGAACCAGGACTAAACCAGGACTGAACCAGATCTAAACCAGGACTAAACTGGGACTAAACCAGGACTAAACCAGGACTGAACCAGGACTGAACCAGGACTGAACCAGGACTAAACCAGGACTAAACCAGGACTAAACCCAGGGCTAAAGAATCAAAAGGATCTGGAGTCTTATTATGATGTCGTGTTTCAATATTGTACTTTTGTAGGTTAATTTTTTGTCATAATATTTTATCAAACTCTTGTGAAAATGAAAAACAGCCTGATTTTCTGACCTTGTACATTAAAATGTTCTACAAAATTTCAATGTGAAAGTATTTAAAAGTAATAAAATTAATAAGTTTAAGGAACAAAATAAAGATAGAAATCATTTTGAAGAGGAAATGTGCTGGTCTCGTCCACTAGAGGGCGCCACAGAGCTTCTGATTTGACCCATTCTACGTTTAAAGGTTTCAAAATTACCACTCGAATTTAGTCCTCAAAATGGCACCTGTAAACACAAAGCTGAACAATATGACTCATTTTGAAGAGTAAAAGCACAAATATTCAAGAGGACTGCATTGTTTAGAGAAAATAAAACACATTTCTTCATTGGTATAAATGTATTTTTATATTTAAATCAGTACATTTCTTTCCAGCCGGTGTTTTTTAAACCCAAAACAAAATCGTCTTTACACAGGTCAGACAGCAGGAACAACACGAATAAAGGGCCCATTTTATGCTATTTTCTAATGTTTTCTAATCACAAACAGACCTGGAAATGTGTCAAATGAATAAAAAAGTAATAATAAACAAACAAAACACAAGTCCAGGTTTGTTTTTGAGGAGGAAACGTGATTCTAACATGACTTAAAGCTCACGAGAGTCAGTTTTGGACCTTTATTTTTACACCATTACTCTTTTTTTTTTAAGGCCAGTAGTCTCTTTGCATAGTTTTTCATGGCTTTAACTTCATATTTTAGTGCAATTAATGATGAAAAACAAAAAACAAAACACTTTCAATGGACAAATGTGTCAGTTTTTCTTACGTTTCCGTGTAAACTCCTCGTCTTAAAACCCCCGCACACCGTCTCTAGTTCTGCAGACACTACAGAAAACCCTGATCTCCACAACGCATATAAAAATATAATAAAAAGTAAAAGATTTCAACATAAAAGATTAAAAAATTAAAACAAAAAATGGAAACAGAATCGCTAAATGGCAGTTAAACAATTTCAGAAAGTGACAGAAACACAAATAGTGCAATAAAATTAGAATTATTTGGACTTTTGTTGGGAAAAATACTAATATATTTTTACTTTTAAATCATAAATACAGTTAATTTGTTCTAATTTGCTTGTTTAATTATTAATGTTTGATAGCAGATTATTATTTTTGGTTTTAAAGTACTAAACGTTTTAACTTTTTGTGATGTTAGTTTGGGCAAAGGTGCGTTAAATTGTTCTTTTTTTTTTTTTTTTTTTTTTTTCGTTCAGTTTTCCAGACTCACTGCTTGGGAATTTTTTTTTTCCCATGGCTTGTTTTTGATTAGAATTACTCTATTACTATTTTAATATCATTAGACATAAACATATTTAATTTAAAGACGCAAGAATAAACTGTTTAAAGAAGTATACGGCGTTCGGTTCCAGTCAAATGAAGCTCATCGAGGCTGCGGTTATAAAGGTGAATTTGGAGCAGGAGGAGCTCCAAATTAGGAAGAGGAATTGATTAACGGACAAAATAGCGGAATAAAAACACCAGGATCGTGTAGAGCGAGTTAATACGAACATTTTAAGACCATATGTGGAATAAAATGTGACAGAAGATCTTCCGGAGAAAACACTTTGAGGGAATGGACCAGTTCAGTTTTCATTCCGCGCTCTTCTCTCTAATTTAATGTTTCTCTTTCTTTTTAATTTTATGATGACTGTTTATGTTTTGATTTGTTTTAATTGTGATTTTAATGTGTTTCTTATTCTGTAAAACACTTTGTATACACGCATCACGAATCTCGGACTTCCGGTCATCGCGCATTTCATACTGGGAAGGATTTTCCGAAAAAGTGAGCATCAAACCTCCATGTTTGTTTTCCCAGTGGGATGAGTCTATTGTCAAAGTCGATCTTTTCAAGTCTTTTGAACCATATCACTTTTGTTTCTGGTTCTGATATCGTCATATTTTAGTTTTGGGATTCAGACATCGTAATTGTTGTTGTTGGATCCTAACAGCGGAAAACGTCTTAACACCCATTTTTATTCTCTGCGTGAGTTGTATGGTCCTCTGTGTCTTCTATTTATTTATTTGTAATGTATTTTATTGTTTTTATCTATTTATTGCTTTTGCTCTTATTTGATTTTACTGGTTTTATTAATTTAAGACGAGTTTGATTAAATCTAAGTGTTTATTTTACCATTATTTTCTTATTGTTGTTATTAGTTTGTATTGGTGCAGCACTTTGGAAACCGTTTTTGGTGAAACGGGATATAGAAATAAAGTAGATTTGATTTGATTTGGCTCTCGTTGTTGTTGTTTTTTGTTTTGTTTTTTTTTACACGGGATCGAGACAAACGTAATTCCAATTCCTTTGTTTGTCGAGTACATGTGAAGAAATCAACAATAAAGCTTTGAAATTTGAACTTTAAGACCGAAATTCGGAGTCCGACAGCAGCAGTTACAGAAAAAATCGGCAAAGTTTTTTTTTGTTTTTTTTTCAATAGAAAGTGAACTGGAGCCAGAGCCGATGGAGCCGGAAGTGCGCCCGTGCTCACTTCCTCTAATATAAACAGTCTATGGATGGATTTAACATAACGTTTTGCATTTTAAATCGCGGTAGACCTCGTATAAAGGCATTCTGTGGAGTAAATTTAAAGCCATAGTGCGGAAAATTCCAGACGAAGCTATAACTGATCTCCATGGAGACCTGAAAAGTTACATAGTGCAGCTTTAAGTTGTTTTGACTGTGGACGGCGTTGTTTCTTATACCAAAAATTTGATTCTTTCTTGTGATAAATCCATTTTTTTTCAGATAAAACATTTCCGACGGACTTTTTTGGACATTTCTTAATTAATTTGAGTAATTATTTTGTTATTTAATCGACGTTAATTAACAGTGCATTTGTTAAAGAGGCAGCGTTCGTATTTTTACAGCAGCACGAAACCCGCTTCCGTAAACAAACAAACACAAATAAACAAACAGAGGCTGTTTTTAAGATGGTTTAAGATGGACCCTAAAAATGTAACCGGTGCGAAACGGGAAGAGGAAGTGAGGTCAGTGTTTGTGGGCGGGCTTCAGGAAGCGGGTGGAGAGCTGGCGCGACATTCGGTGCTGCTGCTGAGCCATCTGACCGGCACAGATCGAAGAGTGTAACTTCTGTGGAGGCACAAAAGGAGAGGGGAGGGTCAGAACTTAAAAGGTTTCAGGTCTAAAGATGGATAATATTAAAAAAAACTAAATCTATTTATAAGTTATTTGACAAATGCTGAATGTTCCAAACTAAATTCAGTCCACAGAGCACATTTTAAACTCGTCCAGGAGCTTTTCAGTTTGAGAGAAGGTTAAAAACAGCTGAAAGGTCCTAATTCGTGTATCATTTGTTCATTTGTTTTTCAAAATAAAACCAAAAATAAGAAAACAAACAAACAAACAAAAAAAACTCAACAATTTTCTTTCTTCATTATTTGTCTCCAAAACCAAAATGAAAAAACAGATAATGATTCAGTTTTTCAGTTTTTGATTTTGTCTTTAAAATGAAAAATGGAAAAAATGGATACGTTACTTAAACTGTGATGATGGACAGAACCAGGACTAAACCAGGACTAAAACAAGACTAAACCAGGTCTAAACTGGTCTCAGTCTTGGCCTGGTCCCGGTCTCAGTCCCGGTCTCTGTTCTGGTCTGGTCCCAGTGTGGTCCTGGTCCTGGTCTCAGTCCCGGTCCCGGTCCCGGTGTCTGTCTCAGTCCCGGTCTGGTCCCGGTCTCAGTCCCGGTCTCAGTCCTAGTCTCAGTTCGGGTCCTGGTCCCAGTCTCAATCCTGCTGTGGTCCCGGTCTCAGTCCCAGTCCTGGTCTCAATCTCAGTTCTGCTGTGGTCCTGGTCTCAGGCCTGTTCTGGTCTGGTTCAGTCCTGGTTGGTTTAGTCCTGGTTAAGTCCTGGTTAAGTCCTTCAGTTCAGTCCGGCATCACAGTTTAAGTCACGTAAACGGGAAACTGCCGTAATATGTTTTTACCATTTTTCATTTAAACACAAAATCGAAAAAAAAAAAAAAAAAAAATCATTATCTGTTTTTTCATTTAGTGGTGCGGCTTTGTAGTTTACTAAAGTCGTACTAAGACACCCCAATAAATTCATATATGAGGCGTCTGGATTATAAGGCGCGCAGTCGTTTTTTGATGAAATTAAAGGCTTTTAAGTGTCGCCTTATAGTGTGGAAAATACGGTACATTTACAGACACAGGTGAAAGTGAACTCATGTCGTACCTGTGCCAAGAGCTCGTCCTTGAGGTGTACAGTCCTCCCTTGTTCTCCGTCCTTCTTTGGCAGCTTCAGCTTCATCGATTCCTGAACAAAAACAACATGAGTTTAATATTGAGGTCGAGTTTGCACGTTCTCCCTGTGTTTTTACTTTTGCGTGACCAGCCAGTCCCTTCTACATTCTGTTTTTTTAAAGGTCCAACTTTTTCTTGTAGGTTTCCTTCAAATTCTTTCCCAACAACTTCTAGAAACAAGCAGATGACGGATCCTAAAACCAAAACGTTGCACCTTAAAGTGTCTTGTTTTGGCTGGACAGTTAAGGTTTTCTCCAGGTTGGACCCGTTTCCCCGTACAGAAAATTCCCCGTCGTGGTGGTGTTTGTGGTGTTTGGCTGTGGGGTGTATTGAGCGTGTGTAGGGGGCGGTACCTTGCAGTAGATCTTGAGGTCGGTTCCGTGCACTTCTGGGGGTCTGTAGAAGTTCTCGTAGAGACACTCCCACTCTTTGTTGAAGTGGTTCACAAAGTCCAGCTCCTTCACACACACCACACGCCTGAAAATGTGGAATTAAACACTGTAAAAGTAACGAACGGGACGAACACCGGGCCCAAGATACAGGGGCATGTCCAGACTTTTTTCTACCTTCGTGAAGTTGGTCACCCATGAAACACAAACCTACACAAAAACTATGTCTATCATTTGTGCTGCTTTAGTTTTGGAGATATTAATGATTCTTTTACAGGTCAAATTTGACTTATAAAAGAATCGTTAATATCTCAAAAACTAAAGCAGCACAAATGATAGACATAGTTTTTGTGTAGGTTTGCGTTTTTTCTCTGGGGTGGTACAAATCTTATAACCAGTCTTTTGTTTGTGAATAAATACATAAATTAAAAATATTAAGAATTATTGTATTTGTCGACGTTAACTTTTGGTTGTAATTTGGTTCAGTATTATTACTAAAAATGAAACTGCGTACTCCCTTATGCTTTATCTGATGTTTATCTGACTGTAGACGTCACCTCTGCATTAAAAAGACTCAAGAACGTGCAGGGAGCATTATCCTGAGATTCTCTAAAGGTTTTTAACTAACAAAATACGTTTTCTAGAAGGTTCTGAGAGCCAAAAAGGCAGTGCATTTCACACGGAGGCCTTCAGTAGAGCTCCGTCTGAAACAATCCACTCCTCAAGAACTATTTTATGGTTATAAAAGCGTCTTATTCTATAGAAACACAGTGTAAAGAGCCGTGGAGATTCAGTGCAGGTAGAAGTGAGGAGTGAGGAGGACAGGTTAAACAGGTAAAACCAGGACTAAACCAGGACTACCAGGACTAAACAGGACTAAACCAGGACTAAACCAGGGCTAAACCAGACTAAACCAGACTAAACCAGACTAAACCAACTAAACCAGACTAACCAGACCACTAAACCAGGACTAAACCAGGACTAAACCAGGACTAAACCAGAACTAAATCAGGACCGTTTGTCAGGACAGACCCGAATGTGCGCCCGCGTAAACTGTCGGGTGACTGCAGACGAAAGGACCACACAAGGGCCGGGGCTCCGCTTTCTCTCAAGTCCAAGATTAGTCCTGGTTTAGTCCTGGTTTAGACCTGGTTTAGACCTGGTTTAGTCCTGGTTTAGACCTGGTTTAGACCTGGTTTAGTCCTGGTTTAGACCTGGTTTAGTCCTGGTTTAGACCTGGTTTTGGTTTAGACCTGGTTTAGACCTGGTTTAGACCTGGTTTAGTCCTGGTTTAGTCCTGGTTTAGTCCTGGTTTAGTCCTGGTTTAGACCTGGTTTAGACCTGGTTTAGTCCTGGTTTAGTCCTGGTTTAGTCCTGGTTTAGACCTGGTTTAGACCTGTTTAGACCTGGTTTAGACCTGGTTTAGACCTGGTTTAGACCTGGTTTAGACCTGGTTTAGTCCTGGTTTAGACCTGGTTTATCTGGTTTAGACCTGGTTTAACCTGGTTTAGACCTGGTTTAGACCTGTTTAGACCTGTTTAGTTTAGACCTGGGTTTAGGTACCTGGTTTAGTTTACCTGTTTAGTCCTGGTTTAGACTGGTTTAGACCTTTAGTCCTGGTTTAGACCTGGTTTACCTGGTTTACCTGTAGACCTGGTTTAGTTCCTAGTTTAACCTGGTTTAGTCCTGGTTTAGTCCTGGTTTAGTTTAGACCTGGTTTAGTCCTGGTTTAGACCTGGTTTAGTCCTAGTTCCTACCTGGTGTACCTGGTTTAGTCCTGGTTTACCTGTTTAGACCTGGTTTAGACCTGGTTTAGTCCTGTTTAGTTTACCTGGTTTAGACCCTGGTTTAGTTTACCTGGTTTAGTTTAGACTGGTTTAGACTGGTTTGGTTTCCTGTTTAGACCTGGTTTAGACCTGGTTTACCTGGTTTAGTCCTGGTTTAGACCTGGTTTAGACCTGGTTTAGACCTGGTTTAGACCTGATTTAGACCTGTTTAGACCCGGTTTAGACCTGGTTTTAGACCTGGTTTAGTTTAGACCTGGTTAGTTTACCTGGTTTAGTCCTGGTTTAGACCTGGTTTAGACCTGGTTTAGTCCTGGTTTAGACCTGGTTTAGACCTGGTTTAGACCTGGTTTAGACCTGGTTTACCTGGTTTACCTGTTTAGTCCTGGTTTACCTGGTTTACCTGGTTTTCCTAGTTTAAACCTAGTTTAGACCTGGTTTAGTCCTGGTTTAGACCTGGTTTAGTCCTAGTTTAAACCTGGTTTAGTCCTGGTATAGACCTGGTTTAGTCCTAGTTCAGTCCTGGTTCAGTCCTGGTTTAGTCCTGGTTTAGTCCTGGTTTAGTCCTGCTTTGGCTGGTTCTGTCTCTCTGTCCAATCACGGCTCTGAATCCTTTGACGTCTACTAAAGGCCCTGGTGACACCAACTCAAAATCTGATTGGTTGAAGCAACAGTTTCATGGACATTTATTTTGTGTTCGAGTTCCTGCAGAACAGACTGTGAAGGCCTTGACTCTGCCTGGCAACAAGTGACGTCTGAAATGTGATTGGTCAAATGCTTTAATATGAAAATACACGTGTGGAAGCAGCACAAGCATCAGAAAAGCTCTGAAAGGAAGCAGACAGACGATTTAGAATGATTTAATAATAATATAATTAACATCAGTCTGTGATTTCTTTTAGGCCAGCAGAGAAGAACTCGCACAACCTGACGCTGTGAGGTGAGCAGGTGAGTTTAGTGTAGGTTCAGTATTTATTTACCTGTTGGTGACGATGATGTTGGTTTTTCTGTGTCCGGGGTAAGAACTCTGGTCTCTGAAAACTTCTCCCTCCAAAGGTTTAATCTCAGAGCGCTGAAACACACAGGCTTTTCAACACAACACAAGACTAAAGAAAAACTAAACACAACACAAGACTAAAGAAAAACTAAACACAAAACAAGACTAAAGAAAAACTAAACACAAACAAGACTAAAGAAAAACTAAACACAAAACAAGACTAAAGAAAAACTAAACACAAAACAAGACTAAAGAAAAACTAAACACAACACAAGACTAAAGAAAAAACTAAACACAACACAAGACTAAAGAAAACTAAACACAAACAAGACTAAAGAAAAAACTAAACAACACACAAGACTAAAGAAAAACTAAACACAACACAAGACTAAAGAAAAACTAAACACAAAACAAGACTAAAGAAAAACTAAACACAACACAAGACTAAAGAAAAACTAAACACAAACAAGACTAAAGAAAAACTAAACACAAAACAAGACTAAAGAAAAACTAAACACAACACAAGACTAAAGAAAAACTAAACACAACACAAGACTAAAGAAAAACTAAACACAAAACAAGACTAAAGAAAAAACTAAAACAAACAAGAAAAGAAAAACTACAACAAACAAGACTAAAGAAAAACTAAACACAAACACAAGACTAAAGAAAAACTAAAACACAAAACAAGACTAAAGAAAACTAAACACAAACAAGACTAAAGAAAAAAAAAACACAACACAAGACTAAAGAAAAACTAAACACAACACAAGACTAAAGAAAAACTAAACACAAAACAAGACTAAAGAAAAAGAAACAAGACTAAAGAAAAACTAAACACAAAACAAGACTAAAGAAAAACTAAACACAAACAAGACTAAAAGAAAAACTAACACAAACTAAACAAGAAAAAAGAAAAGACTAAAGAAAAACTAAACACAACACAAGACTAAAGAAAAACTAAACACAACACAAGACTAAAGAAAAACTAAACACAACACAAGACTAAAGAAAAAGAAACAAGACTAAAGAAAAACTAAACACAACACAAGACTAAAGAAAAACAAAAAAGACTAAAGAAAAACTAAACACAAAACAAGACTAAAGAAAAACTAAACACAAAACAAGACTAAAGAAAAACTAAACACAAAACAAGACTAAAGAAAAACTAAACACAAAACAAGACTAAAGAAAAAGAAACAAGACTAAAGAAAAAACTAAACACAAAACAAAGACTAAAGAAAACTAAACACAAAACAAGACTAAAGAAAAACTAAACACAAAACAAGACTAAAGAAAAACTAAACACAACACAAGACTAAAGAAAAAGAAACAAGACTAAAGAAAAACTAAACACAAAACAAGACTAAAGAAAAACTAAACACAACAAAACAAGACTAAAGAAAAACTAAACACAACACAAGACTAAAGAAAAACTAAAACAAACAACAAGACTAAAAGAAAAACTAAACACAAAAACAAGACTAAAGAAAAACTAAACACAAAACAAGACTAAAGAAAAAGAAACAAGACTAAAGAAAAACTAAACACAACACAAGACTAAAGAAAAAGAAACAAGACTAAAGAAAAACTAAACACAAACAAGACTAAAGAAACTAAACAAACAAACAAGACAAAACTAAAGAAAAAACTAAAAGACTAAAACACAAACTAAAGAAAACTAAACACAAAACAAGACTAAAGAAAAAGAAACAAGACTAAACAAAAACTAAACACAACACAAGACTAAAGAAAACTAAAACTAACTAACACAAAACAAGACTAAAAAAAACTAAACACAAAACAAGACTAAAGAAAAAACTAAAACACAAACAAGACTAAAGAAAAAACTAAACACAAAACAAGACTAAAGAAAAACTAAACACAAACAAGACTAAAAAAAGAAAAAACTAAACACAAACAAGACTAAAGAAAAAAGAAACAAACTAAAGAAAAACTAAACACAAAACAAGACTAAAGAAAAACTAAAACACAACACAAGACTAAAGAAAACTAAACACAACACAAGACTAAAGAAAAACTAAACACAAAAACAAGACTAAAGAAAAACTAAAACACAAAACAAGACTAAAAAGAAAAACTAAACACAAACAAGACTAAAGAACTAAAGAAAACTAAGACTAAGAAAAACTAAACAAAACAAGACTAAAGAAAAACTAAACACAACACAAGACTAAAGAAAAACTAAACACAAAACAAGACTAACAAAGAAAAAACTAAACAAACAAACAAGACTAAAGAAAAACTAAACACAAAACAAGACTAAAGAAAAACTAAAAGAAACACAAAAACAAGACTAAAGAAAAAACTAAACACAAAACAAGACTAAAGAAAAACTAAACACACAAAACAAGACTAAAGAAAAAAAACAAGACTAAAGAAAAACTAAACACAAACACAAGACTAAAGAAAAACTAAACACAAAACAAGACTAAAGAAAAACTAAACACAACAAACAAGACTAAAGAAAACTAAACACACAAACAAGACTAAAAAAAAAACTAAACACAAAACAAGACTAAAGAAAACTAAAACAAACTAAAAACAAGACTAAAGAAAAACTAAACACAAAACAAGACTAAAGAAAAACTAAACACAACACAAGACTAAAGAAAAACTAAACACACAAAACAAGACTAAAGAAAAACTAAACACACAAGACTAAGAAAAAAACTAAACACAAACAAGACTAAAGAAAAACTAAACACAAAACAAGACTAAAGAAGAAAAACAAAACAAGACTAAAGAAAAACTAAACACAACACAAGACTAAAGAAAAACTAAACACCAAACACAAGACTAAAGAAAAACTAAACACAAAACAAGACTAAAGAAAAACTAAACACAACACAAGACTAAAGAAAAACTAAACACAAAACAAGACTAAAGAAAAACTAAACACAAAACAAGACTAAAGAAAAACTAAACACAACACAAGACTAAAGAAAAACTAAAAAAACACAAACTAAAGAAAAAAACAAGACTAAAGAAAAACTAAACACAACACAAGACTAAAGAAAAAGAAACAAGACTAAAGAAAAACTAAACACAACACAAGACTAAAGAAAAAGAAACAAGACTAAAGAAAAACTAAACACAAAACAAGACTAAAGAAAAACTAAACACAAAACAAGACTAAAGAAAAACTAAACACAAAAAAAGACTAAAGAAAAACTAAACACAAAACAAGACTAAAGAAAAACTAAACACAAAACAAGACTAAAGAAAAACTAAACACAAACAAGACTAAAGAAAAACTAAACACAAAACAAGACTAAAGAAAAACTAAACACAACACAAGACTAAAGAAAAACTAAACACAAACACAAGACTAAAGAAAAAGAAACAAGACTAAAGAAAAACTAAACACAAAACAAGACTAAAGAAAAAAAACAAGACTAAAGAAAAAACTAAAACACAAACACAAGACTAAAGAAAAACTAAACACAAAACAAGACTAAAGAAAAACTAAACACAAAACAAGACTAAAGAAAAAGAAACAAGACTAAAGAAAAACTAAACACAACCAAGACTAAAGAAAAAGAAACAAGACTAAAGAAAAACTAAACACAAAACAAGACTAAAGAAAAACTAAACACAACACAAGACTAAAGAAAAAGAAACAAGACTAAAGAAAAACTAAACACAACACAAGACTAAAGAAAAAGAAACAAGACTAAAGAAAAACTAAACACAAAACAAGACTAAAGAAAAAAAAAAGACTAAACAAGACTAAAAAAAGAAAAGACTAAACAAAAACTAAACACAAAACAAAACAAGACTAAAGAAAACTAAAAAAAAAAACACTCACCAACAAGATTTACTCTGGTTTGGTTTTATATTCTTATCGGCTTTATGACACTGTTTCCTCAAATCCAAACGTTTAAACTAAACTAAAACTAACCAAAACTAAACACAACTTAGACTTTATTTACTTTACTTTAAACTTTACTGAGACTCAAGGGAAATGACTTGGACACAGGAGCTCAGACATCACAATATATAATAATAACAAAGAGTAAACAATATAAAAATGGTAATAAAACTTGTAAATAAGTCACAAAAACTAAACACAAAACAAGACTTAACAGTATTTACACTGGTTTAGTCTTATTTATTCTCTAATTTATCTCACTCTATCCTCAAATCAAACTGTTTAATCTGAAACACACAAACTTTTCAACACTAGAACTAAACTAAACACTAAACAAAACAAAAGAAAACTCAAGAAAACTAAACACTTAACAACAGTATTTACTCTGGTTTGGTTTTATATTTTCTGGTTTGTGACACCGTTTCCTCAAATCCAAACGTTTAATCTCAGAAAAACTAAAATAAACCAAAAAAATAATCCAAACTAAACAATTACTTATTTCGTCATCAGGTTTATCTCACTGTATCCTCAAAAACGAAATAAAAAATTAAAAAACTGAACAAAACGAAACAAAAACTAAACAAGACTAAAGAAAATTAAACAAACATTAAATTTAAACAACATTAAACAAAGATAAACAGTATTTACGCTGGTTTACGTAGTCTTATTTATTATCTAATTTATCTCAGCGTCTCCTCAAATCAAACTGTTTAATCTGAACCACACAAACTTTTTCAACACAAGACAAAACTAAACACTAAACAAAACATTAAAAAACTATATATTATTATGATTTTAGCTTGTGGAATCAAATATATACACTGGTTTGTGCATAGTTATTTTTATTTTTTTTCTTCAGAGTTCTCACTGAAGAAAGCTGGAGCATTAAATAAATAAATAAATAAAATAATACTCTATATCAGGGGTGTCAAATTCACAGAGGTCAAAAAAAAAAAAAAAAAAAAAAAAAAAAGGGACTAAGTCGTGGGCCAAACTAAATATTTATTGAAAAATGTCAACAACATCTGCATGTTTTCTCTTCTTTCAGGATATGTAATGTTGAACCTTTTCTGATTAAAATAAATGTTTAATAATAGTTTTGTTTAAATATTGAATCCAGAACAAACAAAATATAAAATAATAACAACATTTTAATCTCATCTGTAGCAGCTCAAATTTT